CAGTGTTTAAATAAATGAGAATATAACTATGATCAGTGTTTAAATAAATGAGAATAAAACTATGATCAGTGTTTAAATAAATGAGAATATAACTATGATCAGTGTTTAAATAAATGAGAATATAACTATGATTACAGTGTTTGTAAATAAAATGTAATATTCTGAAAAGTATAAAAACTGCAGACACACCACCTCCTGAAGGTTTTGTGTGTAAATGGCTGGAGAAGCACCAGTCCAGTAGTAGTTGGGACTGGAAGGACTGGGAGCAGAATGCAGCGCGAGCTTCAAGCGTGCTGCTCAGGTGATTGTGGTCCCGGACCTGGACCAGTCCGTGTGTTTGGACACGGGTTCTGTTGACAGAAGCTAACCTGCTCGCAACAAGAGCTACAGGAATCCCGCTGCAACACGCTTCGTCCTACAGCTCCTGCCGTGTCCATGTGTCCCGCAGTGAAGCGACAGTTCAGGAGCAGGAAGACGACGGTGCAGCAGGGAACTAACGACACACCGAGGCAGCGAGGTCCCGGGCCCGCCGGGAGGGAGCTGGGTGTGTCCGTGTGACTGACACCGTTAGCGGCCACACCACAACACGGTCCGGCCTCTCGTTCACCCGTGTCGGTCACACTTACCGTCCGTGACGCGGTCACCGTGGTGTAGTACAGTTTGACTCCCATGGCCGCGGCTGCTGCTTCCGCTCTCCCTTCACTCTGATCCTGCCGCTTCTTCTTCTTCTTCTTATTCTTCTTCTTCTTCTTCTTGTTTTATTGGCGGTTGGCAAACAACTGAAGGAAGCATTACCGCCACCAACTGGTAAGGAGTGTGGACCGCATGACAAAAAAATAAATAAAAATAAAAAATAAATAAATAAATAATAATAATAATAATACTAAACCCTCTCTTTCCTTTTAGATCTTATCATACAACCTACACCGTTTTAAATAATAAAATATAGCTTGATAGCCTCTGTTTCCTGAATCTTTCTGCAATAAATCAATAATGTCTAATTTCATTTTCATTTTACTAAGATGTCTAATCAACTTGTTTCTTTGAACCTGGTATCTCCTGCAATGCAATATGATGTGTTCTATGGTTTCCTCTTCTCCACACTCACATGTCCCTGTTTGATGTTTCCATATTAAACATAATGTTCAGCCCAGTGTGTCCAGTTCTGAGTCGTGAAATAATCGTTTCTTCTCTCCTGTTTCTTTCAGTTCTTCTCCTTTCTCCAATTTTCCTTTGGATTTTACTTTGTATAAAACCACCGGCCTTTCCTTTCTTCCTCCCATCATTTTTGCCACTTTTCTTTCATTTTTTGTTTTATTATACCCTTTATTTCTGTTATACTAAACCTAACATTAATATCAACCACGTCCCGACCAGTGCTCTCCTTAGCCATCCTGTCTGCCTTTTCATTCCCCATAACCCCGTGATGTGCTGGAACCAGTATAAAGTTTACTGTAATCCCCATCATGTTGATCCTATAGAATGTTTGTTGTATTTCAATTAATATATCTGGTCTACTGTCTGACTGGTTGTGTTGCAAACTGGACAATGATGAACTAGAATCTGAGCAGATGATTGATTTTACTGGTCTTACCTCTTCTACCCACTGAACTGCTAAAAGTAAAGCAGCATTTCTCCTGTATAAACTGATGCTCCATCACTAACACTTTCTCCTACTTTAATATGAAATTGTGGTACAATGAATGCTATCCCAATTTTATTAGTTGTATTTTTAGATGCGTCTGTGTATATATGTACATAATTATAATACTGGTTAATGTATGCCTGTACTGTATATTTATCCATAATAAAAGATTTATTCTTGTTTTTCTTTTCTAATAATGAAAAATCTACTATAGCATCAGGGAGTACCCAAGGTGGTGTTGTTGGTAATGGAACTTTCTGACATATATCTAGTTGATCTAAATGGATTTCATTAACTTTGACTTTTATCATCCACCCAAAGCTTTTGATTTTTTCTTGTCCCAACCTGATTTAAGCACCTCTAATGTTGGATGATCATTTCTTTGACCTTGTAAATTTGTCCAGTAGTTCAAAAACAGCTGTTACCTTCTAAATTTAAGAGGCATTTCTCCCATTTAATGTATATATTTAGTGTTATATTTAACACTTTCCTACATTTATCTATTATTTTCTTAATGTGTACACCCCATGTGATTCTTTCATCAAACCACAACCCGAGAAATTTAAATTCTTTAACTCTTTCCAACTCTTGACCATATAATTTTAGCTTGAGTTTCTCATCAACTCTTTTCCTTGTAAAAAACATTATTTTAGTTTTATCTACAGAAAATTTAATTCCCCATTTATACGACCATTTTTCTACTACTGAAATTGCTCCCTGAAGTTTCTTTATAATAAATTCTAGATTTCTTCCTCTTTTCCACATTGCCCCATCATCAGCAAAAAGTGAAAATCCCATTCCACCCTCTACTTCCTTAAACATATCATTAACTATCACTGAAAATAATAATGGACTGACTATACTACCCTGTGGTGTCCCATTTTCTATATTACAACTCTCAGAATAATCCTTCCCTATTCTCACTTGTATTTGTCTTCCTTCTAAAAAAGTCTTAATCCATCTAAACATACGACCATTTACACCCATTCTTTTAATTTTGATTAATAATCCTTCCCTCCACATCATATCATACGCTCGCTCTATATCAAAAAATACTGCCACTACTCTCTTTATTCACTTGAGCCTTTCTAATTTCATGCTCTAAACATAAAA